AGGCTGTCCAGACTACCAGTAAATCAGTTATGTGAAATGTATTCACCATACTTCGTTTAAGGCGATGAGGGACTGGTAGTCAAATTTTCCCCATCCTTAATCATTTTAAGCGAAATAGGCTGAATGCATTATATATAACTGAGTTATTGGTAGTCTCGAAACCCTACTTACAAATGAAGAAATGATAGTAGAATTTTCTCATAATCACGTGAGAAGTTGTTAGCCTAGTAACTAGAACGCATATTCTAGATTTTCTATGAACACAGAAATACCGACGAGAATGCTGTGTTTGCCCACTCCACTGACACACTATTCAGCCTTGCACTAGACCTTGTACAGCTCTAATGGATCTTGTCAAATCGGCAGTACCCGATTTGAGATGTATTCTCCTCCTGGAAGCATCGTCGTCGAGACCGCAGGCAGTAGCCCAGATCCCGTCTCCTGCTGACAAATGGCCTGTCATTGGATTTCTCTTTTCAGGCCCAGAAGATCTTGTCGACAGAAACCGTAGAAACAAGACCGAAGTCACTCTCAAAGCAGGTGACAAAAGAAACTTCTGCCTCCGGGACCAGCTTGCCTCTTGCCCACGCCGCCGGTACCATCGCGACTGTCGCCCGGCTCCCAAGATTTGCAAGGTCGCCTCGAGTCAGCCGCACCACTCGACCGAACACGACCGTCACTTGACCCTCTGGGCTCCAGACGGCCACGGAGGCGCACTCAAACAGGGTCCCGCGTCCAGACTGTCATCTCAACTGTCGAATCTCCAAGACACGTAGATGAGTCATAACCAGTTTGATCCCAGAGACAACGGATTCAACATCCTGCTTTTTTATATATACAGTTATATATACATATATACACACATATATATATAATATATATATAACTAGTCTGATGCAGCTGAGATCCAAAAAAAGTATAATTTTGTATTTCCGGTTCACCTTCTCTCGTCTTTTGTCATCTTCAATGCTTGTGTTGGCGCCCAAGTCGAAAATTACTTTGTTCGGCGTAGCCCTCCTAAAACCTCGTCGTCAGGCATTCCAAAACCAGGTACCGTAATGAAAAAGGCGTCAGTCACAAAAATACATTGATTATTGCGTAAATATTAATAATTCTTGCAATAAAGTAGACATCAAAAGCACGCAGCTAGAAATGTCTTGTTCTGTCTGGCTAGCCGGCGAGCGAAACGACCGCTTGGGTGAATTGTCCACGAATGGACCCATTTGGTCGTAACTACAAACGGGATATCGAAGAGGTCTTTGCTGGGCGAGTATCTATCGCCTCCAAGGGAGAGAAGTAACGATGCCAACTGAGGACATTGAGAATATGCTCTCTGCAAAAATCAAGTTACACATGAATACACATTTATACGCAAGTAGAGAGAATTATGCAGACTAGGGCCGGATGGATCCGACCCAGTGGGCAAAATGCTGTTAGACATATTTCGTGAACTCCAAGAGACAAGACACTTACTTTCAAGTGATCAGTTGGCGGTACAACGCATTTTGGCCAAGGTATAACCGGGTTTAATGCATACTCATTCTCGACTAGTCTCTACAGCATGTGTAAAAAGGGGTTGGGAGAGAGGT